CTGCCAAAGCCTCGGTGTCCATGCAATTCCAACCTTTAGCCCCGAGCAGAGGCTGCCGGGCCCTGACACACCATTTCATGCTGTGTCATGCAGGAGCTGGCCCACAGCCAGCTCCCAGCTCCGCCTGGCCGGCGAGGATCCATCGCCCAGGTGGGACTCATCAGCCACGCAGGGAGCACTCGTGGATACAAACGTGAGCGTTCCAGGGCTGGTTCTAATGCTATCCCAGATCCTCCCCGTGCAAGGCCAGGCTTTAGGTTTCAACCTGCTCCCAGCTCCACTCCCCTGCAGCTCCCGTGCTGCCCCAGCGAGCACAGTCACAGCAGCTCCTCAGGTGTCCAAGGGCTCCCAAGGGGAACTGGACTGCTGGAACTGCTCCCAGGGGAGGAACAAGGTCTCCCATCCCACTGAAGCACAGAGACAGGCAGGAGGAGCACAGGCTCTCGCTGTCCCCTCCCCCTAAACCACAACAAAAACCAGCAGCACGTCACAAAAAGGATATTTCACCCCCCCACCCCCGACTCAGGCAGCCCAAGTGTCAAACAAACTGCTGTGCGGTGACCTCAGACATCCTGTAGGATCACCAGGGCACCCCTGGGCTGCCCCAAGGCCTGTCCCAGCCCAGCCCAGCCCTGCACTCACCTCTCGGCGTCGCTCGGGCCCCCGTGCTGTTTGCCCTGCGGGTTGAAGTGCGGGCCGGCACTGGTGCAGCCTGGAACACAGCACAGGGATCCGTCAGGGCACACCTGCTCCTCCCAGGGACCCATCCTCTCCTGCTGCACGTCCCGCTAATCCTCGGGGTGCAAATCACCCACTACAGACTTGGAATTCCAGTTAAATACAAGTGCTCATTCCAGAGCTCCCCAAGGCTCAGCTGGGAGCTTTCTTATTTCTTAATACCGGGGCTGAATGCTTGGGACGGCAGGCCTGGACCAGCAGCCTCAACACGTTCGGAGCATTACACGGGGAGCACTTCCTTGGGAAATACCACACGTTTCCTAACACAGATTTGCAGCCACGAGACCCAAGTGCTGCTGCGACACTGCAGGAAAGCTCCCTGAGGCCGAGCACCCCTCACCGTTCGTGTTGTCCCCGAACTCGTGGACGTGGAAGCCGTGCTCTCCATCGGCCAATCCAGTGATTTTTCCAGTGACTTTCACCGGCCCGTTACCCTTGAAAGGAAAAAGGATTTATCATCGCCGCGAGGACTCTGGCGCTACGCGGCTCCGTGTCAAGCCAAGGTGACAGGAAGCCCTGCAGGCTCCTCCACGAGCCCAGCACCGCCTCGCACACGGCGCCTGAATTTATTTATCCGCCCCTAACGCAGCCTTCCCGCTATTTATCCCCGGGCACAAGCGGTGCCCGTTATCTGGCCGTGCCTTCCAGAACGATCCCGCGCCTCCCCCGGGCAGAGCGGATGACCCCGCGGCCGCTCCCCCGCCTCCCAGAGGTGACGGCGCAGCTCCCCAGGGCCGCGGCCATTTGGAACCGCAGCCCCCACCGGGCCCCGGGAGGGGGCGGATGGAACCACAGGCAGTGCCTCAGCCCTCCCCCTCTCCCCCCGGTGGTCGCTCGGTGCGCGTCCCGTCCCTCACCTGCTGCTCGAAGTGGATGACGCCCTGCACGGGCCCGTCCCCGCGCATCACGCACACGGCCCGCACCGCCGCCATCTTGGTCCGCTCCGGCCCCGCCCGCCGCTCCCGCGGACTGCGGGCACACCCCCCCCGGCGCCCCGCTTATATACGCCGGGCCGGCCGAGGGCGGCCAATCGCGCCGCGCGCCTCGCGCGCCCCGGCCAATCGCGGCGGGGGAACGGCGGCCGCGAGCGCGCGCGGGGGGTGGTGACGGCGGCGCCCCCTGGCGGCGAAAGGTGCGGGACAGGGACCGGGATCGGGGGGGACGGGGACCGGGATCGGGAGGGACGGGGACCGGGATGGGGGGGGATGCGGAGCTCTTGTCCCAAACTGGAATGGATGCGGCGGCTGTGAAGCTGCCCTCCGAACAGCTCCGTGTTTCAGAATAGCCACAGGGCGATGTTTTCAAGCTTAAATCAGGAGCACTGGGAGGTCAGAGAGCATGCGGGGCTTTAGGCAATCGTGGAATGGTTTGGGTGGGAAGGGACCTTAAATCTCAACCAGTTCCACTGCCTGCCATGGGCAGGGACACCTTCCACTAGCCCAGGTGGCTCCAACCTGACCTTGGACACTTCCAGGGATCCAGGGGCAGCCACAGCTTCTCTGGGCAACCAGTGCCAGGGCCTCCCCACTCTCACCGCCAAGAATTTCTACCCAATATCCCATCTATCCCTGACCTCTGTCAGTTTGAAGCCATTCCCCCTTGTCCTGTCACTCCAGGCCCTTGGAAATAGTCTCTCTCCATCTTTCCTGTAGCTCCCTTCAGATCCTGGAAGGCCACAATCAGGTCACCCCAAAGCTTCTCCTCTCCAGGCTGAACAATCCCAGCTCTCTCCCCTTTCCTCCCAGCAGAGCTGCTCCATCCCTCTGACCATCTTGGTGCCTCCTCTGGACTCTCTCCAGCAGCTCCATGTCCCCCCCGTGCTGTTCCCCAGGGCTGGAGGCAGCTCTGCAGGGGGGGTCTCACCCGAGCAGGGCAGAACCCACCCCTCCCTTCCTGCCCACAGTGCTTTGACAATTAATCAATTATCCATAATTAATTTCTGCATATGACCGAGGTATAAATGCCTTAAAGCCGAGGTGGCTTTAAGCCACACCTCTTTAAAGGGGCCTCGTTAAAGTCAAGGAAGGATGAGCAGGGGTTGTTTCACACCTCGGGCTCACACAAAACACCTGAGTCACGGCCCAGGTGACATTAATGAAGGAGAGATTTGTTTTGTTGAGAACACCCGGTGAAGAGAAAACTCCCCACCAATAACACGGGGGTTGTTTGTCTGAGAGACAGATGTGGCTTTGTAGTTTGACCTTGGGGAGATGCTGGGGAAGAGTAGGAGAGCCAGGCAGCTCCTTATCTGGGAGGCACCTTGGCACTGCGGGCTGAACTCCTTGGAGTTTCGTTCCCGGTGTGCCCGGAGAGAAGATACTCTGTAAATGATTTGTGAGCAAACAGGTCTGTGCTCGTGGCACAACGCGCAGCGCTCGCTCCATCAGCAGGAGAGATTCCAGCTGCCCTCCAGGTGCCTCTGGTTTGATTTAAATATTTTGTAAGCTATCTCTTAAATAGCAGCGTCTCGTTTTCACTTCCAGTCGCCCTCGGCTCCCTCACTTTTGTCAGGGTCCTGTCACGAGTGGCACGGTGACACTTTCTTTTACTTCCAGTCCCATCCCCGTGTTTTTATCAGGTGGGTTTGCTCCCTCCTTCCTGGAAGGAAGGTTCAGGATGTGCCCTTGTTCGTGCCTGGACACGAATTTAGGGCACACGGGGCGGATAAGAGCCAGATGTGTCAGGTTTCTTCACAAGTGCAACGATCAAAGTAATGCTTTTAATGACCGTGTTTAATCATCGATGTCAGGGGGCCTGTGAAGGTCACACCCTGAGAGGGATCCCTGGGATCCTTTTCTTTCAGGAGTACAACAGGAACACAAATGTGTTGGTTACGGGTGTGATCCTTCACATCACGAAGCCAGGGAAAGCTTTTTTGTTGTGTTTTCTCCCACAAACTTCCTTTTAACTCCTTGATTTTCTTAGATCTTGCCAGCAGGGGAGAAAACTCGCCCCCCATCCCCAAAGCAGCTCAACAGCACAGGGGTTTGACAGCACAGAAATCATCAGCGGACCCTGCCAGGTGAAATGGTGGCGTGATTATTTTGTCACTTGGAGCATCAGAGTCAATTCAGGGGGGAAAGGAGAGGAAGGGCATCCTGATTGTTTCCTAATTTGCCAGCTTAAAGGGCAGACGAAATAACTGCCGTGTGATGCAGGTTACCAGCAGCCTAAGCTTCTGTAGGGACAGAAGCTAATAAACTTCCCAGCAAAGCGTGCAAAAGTAACCAAAAAAAACCCCAAAACGTGGCCTGGATCAAGCATAAAGTCCCTGCAGTAGCGACTTCGCAGCAAAATTTACACGGGTTAAAAAGTTAAGAGGGAATTTTGGGTGGTTCCGACTCCCTTGGCAAATAAGTGATATCTGGTGCAAATTTCCTGCTCGTGGGGGATCCTTGGGAAAAACACGGAGTTAAACTGAGAGTGGAATGCACACCCCCCTCGGGATTGCCGGACTAACCCCTCACCGAGGTGACGGGCAGTGCCTTCCCAGTGGGGTGATCCCGTCGCCACCCGGAGCTGCTCTGTTGGAAAGGTGGAAGCCGCATTTCCACATCGGCCCCGGGGCAGAGGGATGGATTTGGGAGCGCCCCGAGGGGGAGGGCGGGGGCACACACGTGTTTGTTCAGGCTGCACCACGTGTGCGTTACAATCCCCTGTTTTGAGTGGTTCGGGAGAGGCTTTGGGAGGGGTAGTTTGGGTTGTGGGTTTCTTTTTCCTTTACGATCTCACTTTCTAGAAGCTGGGATTTCCCACCGTTCTAATGCTGTGTCACCGGGCTCAGCTGCCGACACTGCCGCGCCTGGCACAGTCTGGGATGCTCCAGGCTGTCTCCTCTGGCCTTTTTGCTGCTGCAGGAGGTGCCATGGACCTGCTGTCCCCTCCCTGCCGGACCCCTGGGCGTCCCCAGACCACTAAATAAAAAAACCAGACCCCGAGGCAAGGACACTGTGTGTCATTAGCGCCTTCCCCCGGGACTGCAGGTGGGTGAGGACACCCTCCCACCTCCCAGGGATGCCGGGAGAGATCACTCCCCGAGTTTATGTTTGTGTGGCATTCTGAAGATGAAAAGTGCTGTGCAAATGATTGCTGTTTCATTAGGAAATCTGCGCTGGTGGCTCCCTGGTGGAAATCCTGCTGCTGGAGTGAAGGGCAGAGCCGCTGATAACCAGGGGCCGGCTCCCCGTAATTAAAGGAGCGTCAGCGGGAGAGCCTTGGCAAGATGAGAAACAACATTTCACTTTTAACAGCTCAACCGAGCTAATCTTTGTGCTGCGAGTCCCTCACCCCGCGCTGCTTTTGAAACGTGAGCCTCAGAGGAGGGAGAGGTTGTGTAAATGATTAAGACCTTTGTCCTCCAGCGCGGGGCGTGAGCTGCACCTCGGCACAACCTGCCGGGGCTGCTCAAGGTCTGCCCGCTGCTTTTGTTTCATTTTTAGTCGCTCGGTTCGTTCGTTTTTTTTTTTTGTTTTTTTTTTTTTTTTTTTTTTTTTTTTTTTTTTTTTTTTTTTTTTTTTT